GCAGGAGAATTGCTTGAACCCAGGAGGCAGAGGTTGCGGTGAGCCGATACTGCGCCATTGCACTCCAGCCTGGGTAACAAGAGCAAAACTCCGTCTCAAAAAAAAAAAAAAGAAGCACAAACAAAAACTAGTTTGATAAAAGTGGAAGAATGAGAATGACTGGCATATTAAATCTGTCAAAGACAATTTATAATGCAGTAGGAGGTTAGAAAGCACGCAAGTTATGCGACTACTCATGGAAAAAGACTTGGCATGACAGACAACTGTGAAAATCTTTAAAATGACATTAAATCAAATAATTCAAAAAGGGTAACAGAGGTCCCTTTTAATAGAGGTAATAGAATAAGAGATGTACTACGGTTACCAAATAGCTATAACTAATATCATTTAATAGTTAGTAGTGATAAGAGATGGCTAAACATGCAAAGCAATGCTTTGACTATCACATTTTAACTATGCTTTCTTTCCAATCCTGCCCTGCAAAACAAACACAAGATTTGTGTCACAGTGTGCCAGTAAACAACTTTTATCAGGTGGACCTAATGCTGCATGATCCTGTGGAAAGAACACTCATTCAGATGTGGAAGGATCTTGGTTCTACTTATCTGGTATGCGATCTTGGCCAAATCATTCAAACTCAAAATTTTGGTACAAAATAGATGGGTATGTCTCTGTACTGTTATACAGAAATGTAAGAGCCATAAATGACATTTTAAATTTTCTAGTAGCCATATTTTAAAAAGGAAATAAAAGATCAAATTTTGATAATATATTTAAGCCATGTGCAGAATACTATTTCAATATAAAAAAACTGAGGTATTTCATTTTTTTTCATATGGAATCTTCAACATCCAATGTAAATTTTACACTTTTATATATATATATATATATCTTAATTTGAATTAGCCACATATTAAATGCTCAATAGCTAACTGTGGCTAGTGGTTATCCTATTGGACAACATAGCCCAATCATTTTCAAACTTTTCATGGGGAAACAGAAGCAGCAGGAGACTCAACTCAGAGCCTCAAAGCTCCACAGAACCTATTTTAACATTGCTGGTCTAGATTATTTCAAAGGTTCTTTCCAGTGACAAAGGCTATTATTCTTTATGGCAATGGTAATTTACACTAAACTGCCATAACCACTTAGCTGAGCTTGAGGACCAGTAATGCTATGAATTTATTTTCTAACCATTGCAGTGTTTTTACATATATATGCTACACTTTATCTTGTCCATAATCAGATACTTAAAGACATTCACAATTATTCTGTAACTGTAACACATCAGAAAATAATAACCTACCTCAGAATCTGGTTGAGATGATTAGAGAGGTTAATTCATTAAGCACTTAGAATAGTATCTGACATAGCAAATACTCAATAGTTAACTATTATCAGTCAGTACTTCATAATCAATCCACTACACTATTCTAACTGTCCAGCTCTATTCACAACAGAATTAAAACATATATAGTTTTTTCTTCCCAAAGGCAATGAAATTTTCACACCAATTGTAAACAAATCAATATAATAATAAACCTTATATAATGAGACAGATCAGAAATAGTAGAATCAGGCTTTCCCATCCTTTTAGTCTCAGAAATCCCCACGATGATAAAAGGGACAAGAAACAAAAACAACATGTGTAGCCCCCAGCCATATGTATGACAATGGAAAATCAGATTGAGAAATGAAATGAGTTAGAGTAGAGAAAGATCAAACCTAAGAGCCTATGTAGGGATATACTGTTGAGAAGCAAGCCCACAAACCACACAGAGCCTTAGAAAGCCTCAGCAATTTTTCTTAATTGAGACATAATGGAAAGCTGTGGTGAGGTAGCAGACTGAAAACAAGGGCACGGTTTGAAAAAGAGAAAATTAAGAAGAAAACCAGCCTAGTTAAGTCCAGCATTTGACCTACAGAATATGAGGAAGGAAGGAGCTTCTGAATGAACTGACACAGGAAAATTTCCAAGAACATAGTCATACTGAAAGTGACTTTCTTTACCCTATCACCACACCCAGCTAATTTTTGTATTTTTAGTAAAGACAAGATTTCACCATGTTGGCCAGGCTCGAACTCCTGATCTTAGGTGATCCACCCAGCTCAGCCTCCCAAAGGGCTGGGATTACAGGCGTGAGCCACTGTGCCCGGCCTCATTATAGTTTTAACTTTAATTTTTTTGATAACTAGTCACATTGAGCATTTTACCATGGCCACTTATATGCCTTCTTTTGAGAAATGACATCCTTTTCATGTCCTTTGCCCACATTTTCAGGGAGTTGTTTGCTTCTTGTTGTTTGAGTTCCTTGTATATTCTGAACATTAGAACTTTGTCAGATCGTGCTGACAAATATTTTCTCCCATTCTGTAGGTTGTCTGTTAAATACATTATTGCTCTTGCTGTGCAGAAGCTTTTTAGTTTAATTAAGCCCCATTTATCTATTTTTGGTTTTGTTTTGTTTCCTTTTGAGGACTTAATCATAAATTATTTGCTTAGACAAATATCCAGAAGAGTTTTTCCCAGGTTTTCTTCTAGGATTTTTATAGTTTCAGGTTATACATTTAATTATTTAATTCATCTTGAGTTAATTTTTATAGACGGTAGCAATAGTTTCATTATTTTGCATACGGCTCTCCAATTTTCCCAGCACTATTCATTGAATAGGGTATCCTTTCCCAGCGTATACTTTTGCTGACTTTGGCAAAGATCAGGTAGTTGACAGTATGGGGTTTTATTTCTGGATTCTGTAGTCCGTTCCACTGATCTATATGTCTAGTTTCACACCAGTACTGTGCTGTTTTAATTACTGTAGCCTTGTAGTATAACTTGACATCAGGTAATGTGATACCTCCAGCTTTATATTTTGCTTAAGGTGGCTTTGGCTATTGGGGCTCTTTTCTGGTTCCTATGAATCCCAGGATTGTTTTTCTTAATTCCTAATTGGTAACTGTACAGAAATTGCACTGAATTTGTAGACTGCACTGGGTAGTATATACATTTCATAATGAAGTTTAATTACATGAAATCAGTAGTCACCAAGAAGAAAACAGAATAAAATGAACACCGTGTAAATGAAAGAGTGCCACCGCTACACCTTCAAATGGTTTTATGCCAAATATGATCCCGACGCTGGTGGTTATATTCAGACCTATACCTGGGTTCACATGTATACATACATGTCTTCCATTTAAATATATGAATATAAATATATAACCATGCTGTTATTATTTCTGAGAATAAAAGAAAAAGAAATTCCTATAATGCCAGCACTTTGGGAGGCTGAGGCGGGCAGATCACAAGGACAAGAAATTGAGACCATCCTGGCCAACATGGTGAAACCCCATCTCTATAAAAATACAAAAATCAGCCGGGCATGGTGGCATGCATCTGCAGTCTCAGCTACTCGGGAGATTGAGGCAGAATCGCTTGAACCCAGAGGGTAGAGGTTGCAGTAAGCCAAGATCATGCCACTGCACTCCAGCCTGGCAACATTGAGACTCCATCTCAGAGAAAAAAAAAAAAGAAAGAAAGAAAAATAAAAGGAAATTCACCCAAAAAATAGAAGGTAATATAAAAGTTCACTGAAATAAAAGGATCCATTTCTAGTTAAAAAAAAAAAAAAAAAAGAGAGAGAGAGAGACAGAAGAAATTTAGTGGATACATTTCAAAAATGATAAAGCAGATCAAGAACTCATAATTTGCTGCACGCAATATAAAGTCTATTACAGTATTACAAAGTATCTTAGCCAATAAGAATAATAAAGTGCTTGACTGATACATCTACAACTCTAACAAATAAAATACTGAGGTTGTAATGTACTCTTGGACTTCACCTAAATGGATTATCTAATGCAGTGTTTCATAAAATGTGTTTTGAGAATATTTCACTATAATTACAAAATATTTATAATAGATTATCTTATTTCTCAAGTATGAGGATTCTAACACATTCATCAGGCTTTATGGAATTTCCACAGTAAGGGTCAAACGGTCCTTCAGGCTCCAAAGTCTTTCTTTAGCAAAAAAAAAAAAAAAAAAAAAAAAAAAGCCACTTAAGCCTTATGTCTCTTCCTTTCTTTGCCAAAAGTGATAGACTATTTGTCAATAGCATTATTTTTCTTCTGGCTCACCGCAACCTCCACCTCCCAGGTTCAAGTGTTTTTCCTGTCTCAGCCTTCCGAGTAGCTGGGAATTACAGGCATGCGCCACCACGTCTGGCTAATTTTGTATTTTTAGTAGAGATGGGGTTTCTCCATGTTGGTCAGGCTGGTCTTGAACTCCTGACCTCAGGTGATCCAACCGCCTTGGCTTCCCAAAGTGCTCAGATTACAGGCGTGAGCTACCACGCCTGGCTTGTCAACAGCATTTTCAATGGAAGGTTTAAAAAAAAATTAATGTTCTAAATGTCTTTATGAATACTACAGAATTAATCTGGAATAAAAAGACATTTTGTGAATGAAATTTTACTTTAAAATGTTAGCAAAGAAATGTAAAGACAAACATGAAGCAAGTTAAGCCAAATTGTTAACAATTACTGAATCCAATAAACTGGTTTATGAGGTTTATTCTCCTTTCTTTTTGTATATATTTTTAAATTTCCAAGTTTAAGTTTACAATGAACAGCAACGCTTTATTGGTCACTTGTGAATTCATTAACAAACATACATGAACACCTAAAGGCAGAAAGTTACACCTTTAGAAAAATAAAATACATTAAAAACAAATAGGCGAAAATATTGAACAGTGGATACACTGAGAAAATGGGAACCGTAGAGACTTCCCCATTCTTGTATATACCACTTTTCAGTACCTCCTTATTCCTACTCCAAAAAAGCGTTGTTTGTATTCGGAAGAAGGGGAAACACACACACACACACACACACATGCGCGCGCGCATACACACACACCATTGTTAAAATAAAGGAAGGTAGTTTCAGGTTTAAAATGAAAGATTACATTATTTAAAAGAAATGAATAAAGGTAAAGGATTTACCTGCTCTTCTCTTTTCTGCTTGCGTAACTGCAGTCCTTCTTCCTCCCTCCTTCTGCGCATCTCATCGGGATTCAGAGATTTGTTCTTGTAACTCTTCAGGCGAAAGTTCTCTTTTCCTGGGGTGGTCATGATTTCTACAATAAAAGAGAGGAGGGAACAAATAAGTTTACTGGGAAGAGCTCTATTATTCTAGGAGTTCAGCCTTTTAAACACGCACAGCCCAGACATATCCCAAAGAGACACCAGAAATGGTTACTTCCCCTCTCCCACTCCTGCCTCTCTTTAGACAAGTCTTGCTCTGTCTACCCAGACTGAAGTACAGTGGTGCAATCATAGCTCACTGTAGCCTGAAACTCCTGGGCTCAAACAATCCTCTCACTTCAGTTTCCTGAGTATCTGGGACCACAGGTGCATGCCCCCAAGCCTGGTGGTTTTTTTAATTTTTTGTAGAGACAGGGTCTTATAACGTTGTCCAGGCTGGTCTTGAACTCCTGGCTTCCAGTGATTCTCCAACCTTGGCCTCCCAAAGTACTAAGATTTCAGGGATGAGTCACTGCACCTGGTAAGGTTACTTTATTTTTAACAGTTTTATTAAAATGTGCAATTCAACAGTTTTTTGGGTATTTACAGCTTGTACAACCTTCATCACAGTAAATTTTAGAACATTTTAATCGCCTCAAAAGAAATTCTGTATTGTTTAGCTATTATCCCTACTCTGGATATTTCACATAAACAGAATCATATAATATACAATCTTCTGTGACTGGCTTCTTTCACTTAGCATGTTTTCAAGGTTCATCCATGTTGTAGCATATATCAGTACTTCGTTCCTTTTTACAGCTAAATAATACTCCATTCTATGTATATACCCAATTATATTTATCCATTCATCAGCAAATGAACATTTGGACTGTTTCCATCTTTCAGCTATTATGAATAATGCTTCTACAAACGTTTGTGGTCAAGCTTTACACAGATATGTTTTCATTTCTCTTGGGTATGCATCTGGAGTAGAATTGCTGGGTCATATGGTAACTATGTTTAATTGCTTAAGAAACTGCTCAACTATTTTTTCCATGTGGCTGTACCATTTTATATTCCTATCAGCAGCATATAAGGCTTGCAGTATCTCCACATCCTTGCCGGCACTTCGCTATTAAAACTTTCACTGAAACCATCCTATTGGGTGTGAAGTGGCATCTCATTGCGGTTTTGGTTTGCAATCCCCTGATTGCAAAGATAAGATGAGATAAGAGCATCTTTTCACATATATATTTGGTAACTGTATATCTCCCATTAAAACAAAGTCTATTCAGAGCCTTTGCCCATTTTTAAATTCAGTTATTTGTCCTTTTATCATTGAGTTGTAAGAGTTCTCTATACATTCTACATAAAGGTTCTTTGTCAGATATGCTTTGCAAATATATTCTATCAATTATCTTTTCACCTCCTTGGTGTCCTTTCAAACACAAAAGTTTTCATTTTGATGAAGTCCAAATTATTCTGGTTTTTTTTTTTTTCCCTTGTTCATGCTTTCGATGTCATATCCAAGAATCCTTAACCTTGTGTTTCTTTCCAAGGGTTTATCTGTTACATTTAAGTCTGTGATCCATTTTAATTTTTCTTTGTAGCATGATTTAAGATTCTAACATCATTTTTTTGCAGGTGTCTATCCAGTTGTCCCAACACTACTTGTTAAAAAGACTCCTCTTTATGGAATGGTCTTGGCACCTGCTATAGACTCAATGTCTCTCACCCAAAATTCATATGTTAAATCCTAACTCCCAATGTGATAGTGCTTGAAGGTGAAGCCTGTGGGAGATGATTAGCCCACAGCAGTGGAGTCCATATGAATAGCATTAAAGCCCTTAAAAAGAGACCCCAAAGAGCTCTGTGGGTAGTTCTGTGACTATTAATTCAATGTCTATTCAGATTGTCTATTCCTTATTGAGTCAGTATTGGTAGTTTTTGTCTTTCAAAAAATTTGTCCACTTCATCTAAGTCATTTAATTTACTGGGATACAACTGTTTTTTTGTTGTTGTTGTTGTTGTTGCTGCTTGGTTGTTTGGTTTTTTTTTTTTTTTTGAGACGGAGTCTTGCTCTATCACCAGGCTGGAGTGCAGTGGTGCAATCTCGGCTCACTGCAACCCCTGTCTCCTGGGTTCAAGCCATTCTCTTGCCTCAGCCTCCTGAGTAGCTGGGATTACAGGCATGTACCACCATACCTGGCTAACTTCTGTATTTTTAGTAGACAGGGTTTCACCATGCTGACCAGGCTGGTCTCAAACTCCTGATCTCAGAAGCTCTACCCGCCTTTGCCTCCCAAAGTGCTGGGAGTATAGGAGTGAGCCACCATGCCCAACCACAAGTGATAATAGTATTTCTTTACAATCTTTTTAATTTTTATAAGGTCACTAGTAATGTCCCCTCTCTCATTTCTTTTTTTTCTTTTTTTTCTCAGACACTTTCTCACTCTGTTGCCTGGGCTGGAGAGTGCAGTGGCACAATCATGGCTCACTGCAGCATCAACCTCCTGGCTCAAGCAATCCTCCTACCTCAGCCTCCCAAGTGTCTGGGACTACAGGCACATGCCCAGATTATTATTTTTTTTTGGTGGGGACAGGGGTAGGGGGTAAAGATGGGGTCTCACCATGTTGCCCAGGCTGGTCTCAAACTTCTGGATTCAAGTGATCCTCCTGTCTCGGCCTCCCAAAGTGCTGGGATAATAAGCATGAGCCACTACACTCGGGTAATTCGAAAAACGTTGAGTTTTTCTCAATCTAGCTAACAGTGTGTCAATTGTTTATCTTTAATGCTCACTATTGTCTTCCTATTCTCTGTCATTACTTTCCACTCTATTATTTGCTTCCTCTGCTTGCTTTAGGTTTACTCTGCTCTCCATACCTCAGTCACTTAAAGTAGGTTAGGTTACTGATTTGAGATCTTTCTTCTTTTTTAACAAGGGCATTCAAAACTAAGTTTCCCTTTAAGCACTGATTTAGCTGTATCCATAAGTATTCCTACACAGTGCTTTCATTTTCATTTATCCCAAAGTGTTTTCTGATTTCCCTTTTGATTTCTCCATGGACCCATCAGTTATTTAGGAGTATGTTCTTTAACTTACATATTTCTCAAATTTCTTCCTGTTATTGATTTCTAATTTCTTTCCATTATGGTCAAAGAACATACTTTGTATTAATTTAATCCTTTTAAATGTATCTAGCTTGTTTTGTAGCCCAGTAAAATGCACATCTAACATTTTCTATCCTGGAAAATACAGATTTCCAGGATATACATGTTTCCATTTGAAAATACATATTTTGGACTACTGCTGGCTGGTAGTATGGTCTATACATCTCTGTTAGGTCTAGTAGGTTTATTGTACTGATTCTTTCTTGACCTTCCATCAAGTTGTTCTGTTTTCTATTGTACGAAATTGAAAACAGTTGGGGTACTAAAGTCTCCAACTCTTATTACTGAATTCTCTCTGTCAGTTTTTGCTTCTCTCATTCACTTACTGTTTATGTCCTACAACCATTTCCAGAGGCTTTCCATGGTTGTTTTTGAAATATTTTACCCTAGGTTTACTGGGGAGTGGGTCAGCAGAACTCCTTATTATGCTAAAAGCTGCATAAATAATTACTTACATGAAGATGATTTTGATGCAAACCTGAGTTAAGAATCACTGATTTATAACATGCTGGCACATCTTCTATTTCATCTGGATCTGTTAACAAACCTTTATGGCAGAAATTATCATTCTCATCCTTTATAGGTAAGGAATCAGAAGGCTCACAGAAGTTAAGTGACTTGGCCAGGATTACACACTTAATACAAGATATGAATGCAAGTCTCAAAATACACCAAGTGATCTACTGAGATAGACTGAATAGTATCATCCCCCTAAAACTCTTATGTTGACATCCTAACCACCAGTGTGACTTGTATTTCATTACGGTGCTTTTTAGGAGACAGAATTAAATGAGGTCATGAGAGCCCTACCCTGACAAGACTGGTGTCATTATGAGAATGAGACACTAGAGACTTCTCTGAGAGATACAGAGAAAGGCTGTATGAGGAGACAAGAATGCAGCTGTCTGCAAGCAAGAGAGTCCCCAGAAATGAACCCTGCTGGCACCCTAATCTTGAATTTTAGCTTTCAGAATTGCGAGAAAATAAATTTCTGCTTAAGCCACCCAGTCTGCAGTATTCTGTCATGGCTGCCTGAATAGATTAATATATCTACTCAGCAGAAATTTGGCAGAAACTTTATCAGACGAAAAGGTGGGTATAATATGGATGAGAATTTGTGAATAATTCCAAGAAAATCATATTTAAAGGTGCTGAAAAATGATATGAAGAGTGCTGGTTTCCTTACGCAGGCAGCATTCTAGCTATGAATTATCATAATATGGTACAGTAATAGCAGTGTTGCAATGATGACCCAAATTCAAAATCCAGATAGGGCGTGGGAGCTTACACCTGTATTCCCAGCACTCTGGGAGGCCAAGGTGGGGAGGATCACTTGAGCCGAGGAGTTTTGCAGAGGCCTTGCCTACACAAAAAATTTAGACAGGCATGGTGGCAGGCACCTGTGTCATCCCAGCTACTTGGGAGGCTAAGGTGGGAGCATCACTTGAGCCCAGAAGGTCAAGGCTACAGGGAGCCAAGATTGTATCAATGAGCAAAATTCCATCTCAAAAACAAAAAAGGATTCGTTAAGTTTCAGTTTCAGGTCAAAAAAAGGGAAAAGCCAATAGTAGAGTCTACCAAGACCAAAAGTCTAAAATTAGACTGAAGGAAGTAACTTAGAGGTCTGTATTCAATGTGGAACTGCAAGGATAAGCAATTAAAGCCAGTGTTGGGAGCATGCATACATATATACAAAGAAAGAATAAGTGATAAATAGGATAAAAGATAAAAAGAACAATTGAGAAGTGTCAAAGAAAGGCATATAGGAAGTCTCTTGCACTTCTAACAATATTTTTGTAGTTTGAAATGTTTTCAGAATTTTTTAAAAATCTAAAAGAAATATCACACAAAAATTAAATATTCACCAGCTTTTTTATTAAAGTGTCATAAGCAGCAAGTTGAATAAATTAAGCCTAGCCTTCTAGAAGTCCCATGTTCAAA